GGCTGACGGAGACGCTGCAGGGAGTGGGACTAATTCAAAGATGAGATTTATATCAACCTAAAACAAAGAGCAGTATAGCTCGACGGAAGAGTCGAGCGGTGAGGACGATCCCATCAAAGCGGGATTGGATACGGAGACGGACTCCATCCCGTTCGTATGGGATAGCGAGGGCAATAGCCTCCTAGAGGAAACGGATAGGACTCTCTACACCCTGTACTGGGGAGAAAACGAGAAGGATGAAACGGAAGACTTTGCGAATGACGCATCTACCCTGCGTCTGAAAGGAGGGAAGGGTTCTCCTGTGTCCGAAGACCGATCTGGGAACTCGACGGCCACGGATTCTCTGGGGATGGAGGGACCGTCCTTTACGGCGACTCGGCAAACCGCTGGGCGCCCGAGCCCTCGGTACAACAAAGCGACGACTGCTGCCGGGGGGGCGCGCGGGGGCCGGGCCGGCTCGAGGAAAAACAGCATCTTGGATTCCGGGGGCTAGGGAAGGGAAGGAGGACAGGAAAGGAAGAGCTCCTTCTTTCGAAGGCCTAGAGCAGGCGAGCGGACTGACGGAGTAGCGACAAGAGAGAAGCGTCTTGTCCGAGGTAGGAGGACCGTTGAACGGCCCACCTTCGTCTCCTCTGGGGAGAGGAATACAAGGGACTCTGGGGAACCTCACGATAAAATATCTATGATAGACAGCTACTGTTATTCGGCGAACAGCAACATCACCACCAACGCCACCAGCTCTGCATCCAATAGCAAACGGAGGATGGAGGGAATTCCTTCCTCCCAGGCCCCGTCGAATCCGGTCAACGTTACGAAGTATTACGTAACGAGGAGGGAGGCCATGAGAATGGCCAACGATGAGAAGGATAGGAGCCTGCAACTGGCTAGAGAAGAGGTCATCAGAAGCCTCACGGGTAAGAAGCTTTTTCAGAAATGCAAGCTGGACCTCGATAAGCTCAAGGAAGAGAAGGAGGATTAACTCAACAAGGACTTGACCGGAAAATTACATGAGTACCAGGAGGATGTAATAAGAGTGGCCAGGTTGTCCTACAACCTAAAAGGGACTTATCAAAAGTCCCTCAAAATGGCGATGGCGGCAACGCTTGGATGCGTTGAATTGCTGTGTGCCCGTGCGGAGAAAGCTGCGGAGGAAGCTCGTGACGAGCAGATTAGAATCCTCAAAATGGAACTTGAGGAGATAAAGGAGAGTGCTAGGCTTGGAAGAGAGGTGAACTCCAGGATGCTGAAGATGTCCGACAAAGCGGACAGGTACCTCGCGGAGCGAGGCGATTGCTGCCCCCCGGCAGCAGTCGCCTCAACACCATCAAAGGAAGTGACGTAAGGAGAATTGAAGGCGCGGAAAAACGTAGCGTCCTTAACACCACATAATGGGAAAAAAGGAGAAAGAGCAGAAACTCCAGACAATTCCAATGGAGATTGAGCAGGAAACCAATGGCGAACTTCAAATCCCCCCCCCCCCCCGTAATACCACCGGCAATTAAGGGCAAGGCACGGATCCTAAAGGACAGGACACTAACAGAAGAGGAGCCCAAGAAACTGAACATCAGGCTGGGCACCGACTCGGTAGCCAGGATGAGGAAGAAGACACCCGGACCTTCAGATCGACGGAGTAAGAATGAGAATGAGAGTAAGAACGATAGGGAGACTCTCTCAGAAATTGTCCGTGAAACGGTTATCGATGTCCTGAGGGAACTGGGATTGGGTGTGGAAAAGGGTGAGACTACTATTACTTATGCACCGGTGCCCAGTGATAAGGAGACAGGGAGCCGCAAGGTGGGGAGTAAAAAGGTATCGTCTAAACCAGAAAGAGCTCCAAATAAGAGCAATGGGACCACAATCCCCCCTCGGGAGGAAAAGGGGGACGAAGATATTCATCGAAAAAACGAGGGAGAAAGACACCCAGCACTTGCAGCACAGACGCTATGGAGGGTGTTGGGAAGGAAGGAGAAGAAGAAGGAAACGAGAATTATCTCAGCACAGAAGGGAAAAGAAGAGCTCACCGATTGCAGTACCAAATAGGATGGTCAAAGTCACCAGGAAATTTCCTAGAATTGCTGCGGTGCAGATCCTTAAAAATAACGGCGACATGAGTGGGTGCCACCCGATTGACCACTTTACGATAGAACACGTGCACGAATGGACACGCACGATTAGACACGTTCAATTGGACATGCGTACGATTGGACGCGTTTAATTGGACACCCGTACGATTGGACACTGCACGATTGGACACGGGAACGATTGGACAGTGCACGATTGGACACGTACATGATTGGACACGACACGATTGGACAGGTGCATGATTGAACAAGGTACGATTGGACACGTGCACGATTGGACACGTGCACGATTGGACACGTGCACAATTGGACACGGCATGATTGGACACGCATACGATTGGATAAGTACACGATTGGACACGGCACGATTGGACAGTGCACGATTGAACACGGCACGATTAGACACGTGCACGATTGGACACGTGCACGATTGGACACGTGCACGATTGGACACGCGCATGATTGGACACGGCATGATTAGACATGTGCACGATTGGACACGCACGATTGGACACGTTCAATTGGACACGCGTATGATTGTACACTGCACGATTGTACACGTGCATGATTGGACACGACACGATTGGACACGTGTACGATGGAACACGACACGATTGTACAGGTGCACTATTGGACACGTGCACAATTGAACATGGCACGATTGGACCAATCGTGCACGATTGGACACGAGCACGATTGGACACGTTCAATTGTACACGCGTATGATTGAACACTGCATGATTAGACACGTGCACAATTTGATACGGCACGATTGGACAGGTGCATGATTGGACACGGCATGATTGGACACGTGCACGATTGGACACGCACGATTGGACACGTTCAATTGGACAAGTGCACGATTGGACACGGTACGACTGGACACGCGCACGGTTGGTCTTACGTGGTAATGATAAATAGCGTAGGATCATTATACAGGGTGTCTCGAATTTAAATGTCAAAGCTTCTGTATTGTGTAGGAGATCGATAAACTAAGAAAAAAAGTCCTCTAGAGATATATTCGTTTTTACTTTGTTTTGGAGAAAATCGCGAATATGGCAAAACATACTTGCTTCGTTCTTGCACTGCCTCTGAAGTATTATCGTCGCTAAGATTATACACGAAAACAATAATAATAATAATTCCGTTCTCACGTTATTTCATAACCTGAAAAATCGTCAACTTTTCTGGCCGCAGCACACACTCTTGCATAACGCATAATGCATAGTGCATAAGGGAATCAAGCAATCAAAATTCTTCTTTTCCATGGAATGAGAGGAAAGGAAAGCTTCTGATTAGTTGATTCGCTTATGCACTATGCGTTATGCGTTATGCAAAAGTCTGTGCTACGGCCATAACGATTAATAATCTTGTTTCACGGGGCAGAACAACGCCTTTTTCCTGTTAATCCTTTATTTTTGCGTGAAAATGTATCGATCGAGTGTATTCTTTATCAAAACTCGAGACGGACGAAGTCTTATTAGCATTTACCATATTTTTATATGTTCCTTCATTCATAAAGTGAAAGACTACTATTATAACTATGTATATATTTTGGCAAGAAATTTTGTATACAAATATTTATAATTTTTATTTATGTAGATATATATACACATATACATAATTAAAAAATATATATATTGTTTATGTATGCATATAAACATAAATAAATGTTATATATGTATGTATGTATACAGAGTGTCTGGAATTTCAATGTCAAAACTTCGCGTAGGGGATCGATAAACTAAGGAAAAAGGTTCTCGAGAGATATGCTCGTTTCTGCTTCGTTTTGAAGAAAATCGCAAAAAAGACAAAACATAGTTGCTTCGTTCTAGCACTGCCTCCGTAGTTAATAAGTTTGTTATTTTTAGCTAAAATTCTTGCACGGTTGATCGTTTCTGTTTTTCTCTCCAACGAGGAGAGAAAAGGAAGAAAAACGAACCGTACAAAAAGTTGAGCTAAAAAGAAGGCCTATTATTGTCGCTAAAATCGTACAAGAAAATAATAATAATTCCATTCTCATGTGAAAACTTTCTTTGTTTGTTTACATTTCTGCTTACCTTTCTCTTGACATGGAAATCAGCGTGTATACTCTCTCATCACCTCCGTAGCATTACTAGAGCACTAGAAACATAGGTATTTGCATCCACCATTTTTACTCCTTTTCTGTGACGGGTTATGGACATTACAGGTTATGATTTGTATTTGCTGCTTGAAATTTTGTAGCTCCTTTCATTCCTACAAGGAATTAGCTTGTTTCCAACAGCATAGAAGCTATAACCTATAACAACCGTAACGACGATAATTTTCTCAGCTCATTGGGAACAGAGCAAGGATAAGGGAAAGGAGTAAAAATGGCGGATATACGAATACTCTACACGTTTATAGTGCCTTCGCATTAATATCGCAGAAGCGATACACGAAATCATGTCAACATATTCAACGTGTTAGAATGTGTACGCGGCATAATGTGACAAGAGTAATCCACTCGATAACTTCTGACGAGTAACTGACGAATTTATAGGAGAAAGGCGAAAATTTAAACAAACAAGGAACGTTTTCACGTGAGAACGGAATCATTATTATTATTGTTTTCGTGTACGATCTTAGCGACGATAATACTTCAGAGGCAGTGCGAGAACGAAGCAAGTATGTTTTGCCATATTCGCGATTTTCTCCAAAACAAATTAAAAACGAACATATCTCTAGAGGATTTTTTTTTCTTAGTTCATCGATCTCCTACACATTACAGAAGCTTTGACATTTAAATTCGAGACACCCTGTATAATGATCCTACGCTATTTATTATTATAACGTAAGACCAACCGTGAGCGTATCCAGTCGTGCCGTGTCTAACCGTGCACGTGTCCAATCGTGCACGTGTCCTATCGTAACGTGATCAATCTAGATCCTCCGAACATGAGTTACGCGGAGATTCTCTACACTGCGCGGAATAGGACAAACGTCGACGAAATCGGCATTAAAGAAATCCGCCCGAAGAAGGCCCGCACAGGAGCATTTCTCTTGGAAATTCCGGGCCCGGCGGGAGCGGCCCAGGCGGATTCATTGCCTGATAAACTACGAGAGGTCTTAGCGGATAAGGAAGAAATCCACGTCTCCAGACCTAGGAAGATGACCGAGATCCGGGTGAGGGACATCGAGGACTCCGTGTCCCATCAAAAGATAGCCTGTGTACCAGCCCGGGAAGGCGGCTACGAAGCCGATGAGGTAAAGGTTGGCCCCATTAGAAGAGCTTCAAACGGACTGGGCGCCATATGAGCCAAGTGCCCACTGGCGGCTGCCATCAAGACAGCCCAAAAAAAGAAGGGTGAGAATGATGTGGACGTCTACGAGGGTAGACCTCCTACCAGACCGGCCCCTTCAATGCTACAGTTGCCTAGAAAAAGGGCACATGCAAGCGGAGTGCAGAAGTGAGGTAGATAGGACCTCCATCTGCTACCGATATGGCTCGAGGGGTCACAGGGCTATCGAATGCGATGGGATGGTAAACTGCCCGACATGCGCAGATGCCGGACTACCATCGAATCACAGGATTGGCGGAAGGGCGTGCAACCCTCCGAAAAGGAAAGGCCGGATCCCGGTACGTGATACCACTCCGAAGCCCCGGGAGGACGACGAGAAGATGGAAGTGGATGCGGAGTCACCGCTCCCACAAAGGGAGAGAAGGAAACGCAGGGCTAACGATGACAAGCCCGAAGAAGGAGCGGAGTCCACTCCAAAGACACAACTGGATGGGGATCTCCCCAGTATGGTGGACAGCAACGTCATGGAGCCTACGGGCCTCGGAACGGGGAAGTCTGGGGAGGAATGCTCACTCCAAGCGCCCCTCTAACGTAGACACACAGGACGGGGAGAGGATCCATGGACGTCGCCGAAGGTCAAGAGGAGCCTACTCGATGGGAGGGTGCCTGCGGAGGAGAGGCCTGGAACGAAGGCAATGCCTAACAGGCTCCTTCAGGCGAACCATGTCCGTGTTGCGTAGGATCTGATCCTAAAAACGATGGAGGAACGGGATTGCGGGCTGGCAGTCATCTCGGAACCGTACGGGGTTCCAGAGAACCATCCGTACTGGCATGCGGACAGACTAGAAGTGGTGGCCATAGTTTGGAGGCCGACGAGGAAGCACCTCTCATGCACCCTTATTAAGGCTGGAGAAGGATATGTGGCTGTGGGATGGGAGGACACCTATGTGGTGGGTATCTACCTATCTCCGAGCATGGGTGTCACTCAGTTCGAGCTAAGACTTGAACGAATAGAACCGTGCCTTAATGCCTTACACAGTAGACCCACGATTCTCACTGGAGACTTTAACGCAAAGTCCACGCTATGGGGCTCCAGACGTGGTGATGCCAGGGGGAAGATCCTCGAGGAATGGACGACTACGGTGGGCCTCCGTTGCCTGAACCAGGGAGGGGTGAATACACTGATAAGAACGACGGAGGAATCAGCGATGGACATCACGTGGGCCTCCCCCCCTGCGGCCTCTATGGTCACGAATTGGAGGGTGCTCCCTGATGAGACACATTCAAATCACCTCTACATATAGATAGGCCTGAAGGAGACTCAGGCTCAAAGGGTGAAACGGGGTCAATCCAAACCGCCGCGCTGAAACCTCCGGCAGTTAAATGAGGACTTGCTGGAGGCGGCTGTCTTGGCGGAATCTTGGCCCACAGCCGACGCAATAGGCCTGGACAAATGAGTGGAAAAAACACAAGGCATGCTGGCCACTGCGTGCGACGTGGCTTATGCCACGGGCCACCCAACGGCCCAGAAAGGCCGTGCACTGGTGGAGCGACTCCATCGCGATCCTGAGAGGCGCCACCTTGCAAGTAAGGAGGGCGATCAAAAGGGCAAGAAGAGGTCGAAAGGATCCTGAAGAGGTGGAGGCCAAAGTGGTAGACTATAGGCGAGCCAAGAAGGATCTTAGAGCGGTCATTGCCAAGGCCAAGGAAAATTCTTGGAAGGAGTTTGTTCTCTCACTGGACGAGAATCCATGGGAACGCTCGTACTTATTGGTGCGGAACAAAGGGTGGCACCCAGTTGGACACGGCTCAATTGGACACGAGCCACTCACAGCGCTTGAGACTACAAAGCTCCTAAGCACCGATCGCTGTGATTGGTGGTGTCCAACCGAGCCGCGGTCAATCGGGATCACCCCCGGAACAAATTACGAAGATGGACGCAAACAGAAGCTCTGGAGTCGCCCTTCTTGGAAGAGACATTGAAGACACTCTTCCCATCGCCTGACAGGGAGACTTATAACTGGACAAAGGAGCCACTCCCGGACAGAGGCTGGGGATTATTGAGGGAGGAGTTTGGGGTCACAAAGGAATTAGAGAGGGCCATCAAATGAATGACGTCTCGGAATGCAGCGCCTGGGCCGAGCGGTCTACACAGTAGAGCTTGGGCAATAGCGATTCGCAGAACCAGATTAGGAGACAGTCTGAGGGAAACATTCACGGAATGTCTAAAGGAAGGAAAGTTCCCCAATACGTGGAAAAAGACCAAACTCATCCTATTGGAAGGAGAACAAGCCGGTCGAGAGTTCTTTCGGATACCACCCGATTTGCCTGCTCGACGACGAGGCAAAGTTACTGGAGAGGATTGTGGCCGCGAGATTGACCCGGCATTTGGACGGAACGGGTCCGAACATACACGCCGGGCAGTTTGGATTCCGTCAGGGTCGCGACACCGTGGATGTCATTCTCCGAGTACGATCCGCGGTGGAGAAGGTGGTCTCCGGGGGTGGGGTGGTGTTAGGTGTCGCGTTGGATATATCCAACGCGTTCAACTCCATTGCCTGGGATCGCATTGGGGAGGCACTAGAAACGTATCGAGTGTCCAGGTACCTGCGGGGGATCCTCCATGATTATTTTAATAACGGAGTGATACAGTTTGTGAACTCCGAAGGCAGACTCCTTCGAAGGGAAATAAACAGGGGAGTGCCGCAGGGGTCGGTCCTGGGCCCACTGTTGTGGAATCTAGGGTTTGACCGAGTCCTGCGGCGGGCGGACCTCTCGCAGGGCTGCAGTGTAGTATGTTATACGGATGACACCATTGTACTGGCCCCGGGGGAGGATTGGGAGGAGGCGCGTACAAACGCCCAGATGGCGGTGGACAGCGTGGTGCAGGAGATCCGGGCGCTGGATCTCCGGGTGGCCCCGCAAAAATCTGAAGCCATATATTTCCACGGGGGAAGACACGGAAGGACGCCGAGGACCGAACTGATGGTGGATGGGCTAATAACAGCCAAGTCTACGATCAAATACTTAGGGTTGACAATCGACTCGAGATGGAGCTTCACGAAGCACTTCCAACGATTAGCTCCGAGGCTCGAGCGTATGGCTATTAGCCTATGTGGGCTCCTCCTTAATGTAGGCGGACCCGGGGGCGCGGTCCGTAGACTGTTCACCGGTGTGGTTCAGGCGACGGCTCTTTACGCGGCGCCGGTATGGGCTGAAGAAGCAAGGAGGGGGAGAGTTATCCAACGGACGCTGCATGCCGCGCAGAGGAGGTGGGCCATCAGGTTAAGAGCCTATAAGACCGTATCTTTTGTGGCCACGACCACGCTGGCCGGGGTCCCGCCACTGGAACTGGCTGTAGAAATGCAAGCCGAAGTATTCGATAGTGTCAGGGAGACACAGCGTCGGCTGGGGTGTACTCAGCTCCCCGTGAGGGTCGCCGACCTAATACGGTTCCGCGCAAAAAGTGATGAACGCATGGGCGGCCCGGCTTCCTGAAGCCGGCCACTCAGGCGAAGAGATCGCCAGTGCAATCCGGCCCCGTCTACAAGAATGAGTAGACGCCAGAGGAGGGACCTCCTTCCATGCGGCGCAGATGCTGACGGGCCATGGATGCTTTGGCTGGTATCTGTGCCGCAACGGAAGAGAGACCACAAATAAATGCTGGCACTGTGCCTCGCCCTCGGACACAGCGAGGCACACTCTCGAGGAATGCCCTCGTGGGCCTCTCAAAGAAAGAGGCTAGTCGAGGCTGTCAGGAGCGATCTCTCCTTACGAGCGTTAGTAGACGCTGCCCTCGAAACCGAGAAGAAAAGGAGCCTTCCACATATTTTGCGAGGAAGTGATGGCTCTGAAAGAAAAAAAGTGAACGGGCACGTCGGGGGGAAGGCTAACGCTACCAAACCGTAGGTCGCGGGGTGACGCAGAGCGAAGTGTGTGTCATGACCACATATATGAGGGGCATGACGAAACCTATTAGAAATTGGGCGACCCTCCCCCCTGGTGGGGTCGTGCGCGGCGCCTGCGCACGACCCAGAGGGTTGTGGGGCGTCAAACGGGAGACTCGGCGTCTCCCCGCAGCAACCCGACGGGAATTGGCGGCGAGAGGAGATGGCGTCCCTTCTCTCTAGTACTAGAAGGATACACGCATACAGCGCAATAGGCAACGGGCCCGGCTGGTAGTACTGCTGAAGAGAAGAACCCAGCTGGGCCCGAAATCTGCCTGAAGTAGGACGCTCGCAGTGGTTTTAGTGAGTAGGTCTCTGGTGTCATACCGGAGAAGTCCCACATAACCCCTCCCCTTCCGCGGGGGCGGGGTATGCATGAGCATTTCCACGGCGTTAACAAAAAAATTAAAAGTAACGTGTTGTTTAGTTGTATATTTGTGTGTAATGTTTTGTAACCCCTAAAAGATCAATAAATTGTATATCTATCTATTAAAAGATAGATTTGGTAAAACACAAATGGTACTCTTTCTTGATATTTATACAAACTTACCTTTTTTAAAAAAAAGTAAGAAAAGCGCTATGCACGCGTGCTTTTCGTGAAGAATCATTTTGACCGGTTTCACCAACGCCAATTACTTAATTGGCCATGGAACTGACTAATTGTGTTTGCTATTTATTAGAATTGACCACTTATGATTGACAGTTAATCACCGATTTGGCTCGATCGAGTTGGTGAAACCGGCCCTTTCTATATAATACTGAGTATCCAACCTAATTAATAGTAGTATTAATTTTTCTTCAAGGATATTCTTATAACGATATGTATCATTCGTATAAAAGATTTGATATCAACAAAACTCGCGCCAAGTTAAATTCAATGTAATTCGGATACCAAATTATATAAATAATATTAACTTTAATGATATCATTCCTATAAAAGAGTTTGATATCAAGAAATGGCGCAAAGTTAAATCCCATTTCTTTATTTTACCATGTCCAATTAAATAAATAAGAAATATTAATCTTATGATATGTATCATTTGTAAAAAAGAATTGATATCGATAACTG